GAGAGAGAGAGAGAGAGAGAGAGAGAGAGAGAGAGAGAGAGAGAGAGAGAGACGAAGTGGGGAGCAGGACGAGGGAATAAGAGCCCGCCAGTAGCTTCTTTGTTCGGTAGCGAGGGGGCGGTTCGGGCGCTGGATGTATATCACGGCATCACAAGAACCTTCTTCCAATCGCGAGTCCCCCCCACCCCCTCTCCCCACCTCTATCTATCGGAGGAGCGCTGCACGGCAGCCGCTTTACGACCAGCTGGAGGCCACTGGAGGCCGCCGCGCGGCTACCGGAGCGGGGGGCCTCCAGGAGGATGGATGGAGCGGACAACAAGACCCTCCCCTTCCGCTGCTCTCGCCTCTTTCAAACTCCGTTTTTAATGGCCGGCATCGGAAACGACGGGGTCGGCGCGCGTCTAGCCGAACCTCCCCCCTCCCCTCTCGTCCCCGGCTTCTTATCGCAGACAGCAGCGCCTTACTGCCACACAGAAACTGTAAGTAAGTTCGCCATATTCGCATTTTTTGGCAGCAAACCGTTATGTGTTACAGACCACGTTTGTACACACTTATTGAAAACGTGAACCGTCATTGCACTGGAAAAACAAAGGTGTCAAGTCGCACCATTAGAAGGTGTTCAGGGTTGTGCGCCATTACAGGCATTACAGGGCCATTAAAACAGCTAAAACCACAACTTTTGAACACTAGCTCTTTAGTACCCTTCTTACAGAGGCGTTAAACTTAAAATTTCTTAATCAGCTCAACAACACTGCGACTTAATTAGTACCCTTGTTTTCCAGTAGGTATCTTAAATGCAGGGATGACAAATTGTTTGTATACAAGCAAATAGTTATCAAGGCGTCGCCCCTTTTTTTATCGTGTTACTCATTTCTTTAGTCCTAACCTCAAACAGTCCAGTTAGCGTTGCTCGTGGCCTTGCTGCTGAGTGCCGCCAGGGTGGATTTCGTTCGACAGAAGTGGCACCAAGTGGGCTCCAAAATTACCTGGAACACAGAAACAGTTTTGAGAGAAAGTTGTCAAAAAGAAATGACCGTAACATGTCTGAAACTCTGTTCTGAATAATATTCACAATAAATTTTACACCAATACAAAATCTTATCAAGAGGGGCCCGGCAAAAGATGATAATGTATTGAGTCGACTCAAAAGGTGATTCTAAGATTTTATAAAATCACCCCATCTATAAATGTTTACATTTGACGAAGAAACGACCTCGAAAGTGCTTACATTGGCAAAAATGAAAACATGTTTGACCAGTTGTAATACAATTCTTGGTATCCTGAGTATTCAGGCCGAAGTCAAGCAGTTCCCCCCATCCCAAACCAACCACCACCCAACTGATCGCTACAACACGTCCGACCACCTACAGTAACACGGCGTGTAGGCTGATGCACTTGGCGGGCTGCACCCAGCGGTGGGAAGGGCAGTAGTTCCTCGACGGGAACGTGACAAAACGCAAGAGGGTAAGTCGATGCAGAGTGCATAACGAAATGCAATATGCACCCTGACGGTTTCTGTTACTGCTCTTTGGTTTACAAATTAATTCAATTTCAATTTTTAGTACAAGTGAGCACATTCTGCGACACTTTGGCACCCTTGGTATTAAAAGTAAACGAAGGGCACGTTTTGGGCTTTTTATACAAACCTCAGAAGTTTGTAGTATAACGGAGAATTATTTTCAAATTAAAACAAAGTGTTTTTTTTTTTTTACTATAGGAGACAAAACTAACAGTGCGGCCGCAGTGAGCCTCACGTTTAGCGCAAAAACTACCGCACAGCACTCCATAAAGTACACTTCTCATCCATTCATGTTGATGGGGCACGAGGCGCGCCATGAGTATGTGAAGGGGGTTGAGCCCCGTCGGTGATTCAACCGCCAAATCATGCGGGCCTGGGGCGGCTGCGGCCCCGCGGGTCGGGGGCG